GTCTTTCTTGTGCAAAAGCAATGCACTTCTGTGAGTTTTTCATTCAGTCTTTTCCTTAAAATCATCACATATTGCAAAAGATTTCTCTTTAATTGTGAGAAAGCTGATAACTTCAATATGAGCTGAGAAAAACTGTATCTGATTCAACACAACAGGACCTTTGGGTTATAGACTGTTCTCATTGCTCTATATACTCATCACAATCAAGCAAAGTTGCTTTAAAGCAATATGAATAATAGTTGGGTGTAGTGGTACACACTGGTAATCTCAGCAACTGAGACTGAGGTAGTGTGATAGTAATTTTGAAGCCAGACAGGGCAATTTAGTGAGGCCTTGTTTTAAAAAGAACTAGTGGTGTAGCTCATTGGTTAAAACTCCCCTTCATTCAATTCTTAGTTACCTCTCAGCCCTGTGAAAAAAATACAAATTACAGTATAGCAGAGTGTTTAAATTGAGGCTTTGAGCTTAAAATAAGTAGATATTGAATTATACATTAAACTAGAAAAAAAATCAATTTTTTGAAAAAAAAATGTTCATTATAGCAAACATCTAATGCTTGCTGTGTAGCATTAGAGTAGGAAGATAATGTTAATAGAGATGAAACTAAAAGAAGGCATGAGAGCTATAAAATGGCTTCCAGTAAAAATTGAGAGAAAAGGTGGCTGGTGTTGTGGCACATACCTGAGATAATAGCTACTTGCTAGGATTTCAGGTTCCAGGCCAGCTTGTTCAACATAATGATATTCTGTCTCAAAAATAGTAAATCTGTGGGGGTGGCTGGGGGAGTGGCAAAGCATACATAAGGATATGCACCAGAGCTATAGATTTATAATATGTATTTTAGTAAGATCCTCCAGGTGAGTCCTTGTGTACATTTAAGTTTGAAAAGTACCATCCTAAACTACCATTTCTGATTTTATTTTCTCTTTAGATCCTCCACCATTCTTAACTTCCCCACCTACTTTAAACCCACTTCATGAATGATGACTTTGTTTCCTGTAACTCTGAAAAGACTGAGAAAGACACCTTCACACAACCAGTTACTTCCCTTTCAGTATCTGTTGCTGTACTTTGCCTTCCTGTTACTATAGAAGAACTAACCATGTTTCTCTCTAAAGCTTGTTTACTCTATTCCATCTCTTCCAGGATATTACCCCAGTCATCAGTACTTATACTTTTAGGGCATCCAAACTTCCCTCTTTGCTGGATCATGTAAATATTCTGTATTTTCTCTCTTATGTCAAAAAAGAAACAAAAACTTTCCTTGGAACTCATTTTCTTCTCACCAGCTACCACATTTCTTTACCCTCTTTGCATATTGCCTTCTCAAAATATTGTCTATACTCTCTGTCTCCATTTCTTCTTCTGTTTCTAAACTCATTTATACCAGTTTTTGCTCCCCCTATCCCACTGAAACGCCTTTGTCCAAGTTACCAGGTACTTAATAATTCAATTGGCAGTTCTCAATCCTTATTTTATACAACTGGCAGCCATTTTGACAAAGTTGATCACTGTCTTCTTTGAAACAATTGCTTCCACATGCTGCTTCTCTTGAATTTCCTTCTACTTTCCTGAATGCTTGTCTGGAATATCCTAGAAACCTGAAAGCCCCAAAATCAAGCTGATGGAAGCATTGGTGTCTATTGAGGACTGCTGTCTGCTTCCAAGTTGGCATCTTGTTGGTGCATCTTCTGTAGAGGAAGAAATGATGAATCCTCACATGCCAGAAGAGAATGCTTCCTTCAACCTTTAGCTATTTTATAAGGAGCTGTTGCATTTGTATGGATGGAGAGCCCTCTTGAGTCATTCACTTTTCAGAAGACTCTACTTCTTAATACCACTACAGTAGGGATTAGGAGTTTTGGAGAGGATATATGCAAACTATAACATTGCATATATCTGTGGAAGCAACTGCACAAGTTAAGATAAAAGACATCAGCCTATTGTTTTCATTTTTGTAATTCCTCCTAATTTCCTTTATGACTTAGATTATTTTTTAATTCTACAAGTCACTTGAAAATTTGTATTACATGATCCTTTCGTTTTTTGAATGAAGATACAATTATCGCTAAGTGCTAGTTTAGAAATCTATAGCTGCAATATGAAATAGAAATGTGATGCAACCCCATGTGTACTTTTTAGAAAGTAATTTTATATATTTATTGTATGCAACGTGTTATTTTGAAATGTGTACATTGTTTATTGCTTTTTATTGACATGTATTACTTTTTTATTTATGTCTTTAGTTGTTTATTTTATTGACTTATTTATATGCAGTGCTGAGAATTGAATCCAGTGCCTCACACATGCTAGGCAAGTGTTCTACCACTGAACCATAACCCAAGCCCCATACCTTTTTTTATATATAGCACAAATTGATTATCTACTCATATGTTGATGACTGGTTAGTTTCCAGATCTTGGCTGTTATAATTAACAACAAACATTTATGTGAGTGTCTTATATAGGTAGTTGTTTTGTTGTTATACATGTCATTTTCTTGTTTTCCATGGGTTATTCAAAATGTTCCCACCTTTTGTATTTAACAAATAGTACTAGGGAATATGAACATGTGTATGAATATATTTGAGTACTGGTTTTGGTTCTTTTTGATATATATCTAGGAGTGGACTTTCTGGGCTGTATGTTAATTCAATATTTAACTTTTTGAGGCATCACCAAAGTGTTTTTCACAGTAGCTGAACCATTTCTATTCCTATCAGCAGAGTGTGTGGATTCCTGTTTTTCCACATGCTCACCAACACTTACTTCTTACATTCTTTGTGATTGTTTTTTTTTAAGCTATCTTAATGGGTATGAAATTCTAAATCATGGTTTTGATTTGCATTTCTGTAAGGATTAATAATAATGAGTAGTTTTTATATGGCTCTTGTCCATTTGTTTTTCTGTTGCTCTTTCCTCCCTTTGTTAAATACTTGAGGGAGATCCTTTGAAAATTTCTTCAGTTGTCTGAACATCTTGGTTCTCTTTCCTGTGAACTTGAACTACTCTGGTTTCCTAAAACTCAACTGTCTTCTCAGCATGGAGATATCTCTAGGCTTCGGATAAGTTCTTCTCTTGTACCATGTCCTAGAAATTCTCCCAAAGTTACAGTAAGATGTGACAGTTTTGGGGCTCACTTATTTTGTTTTTCATATATTAGGGTCTCACAGTCTTTTTGGGCCCCATTTTCAGAATTTTTCATAACGTATGTGATATGATATAAAACATTATTTCCCAATATTTTGGTTGTTTGATATGGGAGAGTTAATATGGTTCTGTTATTCTGTCTTGACCTGCTACAGACTCTTTTATCTTTAAAATGGAGAAAATTAAGGTCCAGAATGTGCCAAATTCAGGTAACCCTGTTTTTAAGTTCTGGTGAATTCATTTTATCTTTTTCGTGTACCATTACCACCTTAGAGTTTATATTTTTATGCTTTGACACTCTATTGGCTTGAAGTAGACAGAGTCTAGGTAAGTGTGTATAGGAGATAATCAGTTGGTTTTCTTTGTGAGGAGTTGTGGACATTGATTATTATTCACTTGGGAGCAGGGACTTTCTAATGAAAGTTGAATCTATACTATGACTAGTGTCAAAAACTAAAAACATTTCAACAAAGAAAATCATACATTTCAAAAGAAATGGACTGAGTAATACTTTATTTTAGTGTGCTGCATTTCCTCTTATTTGCAATAGAAATATTTGTTCTTTCTAGGAAGTTAGAAGACTTTGTGAGAGACATTTGTTTCGAAAAAAATTAATGTGCTTTTGATTAGGAAAGATTTAAAAACCCTCATGAAGGAATCTTAACAACAATAAATGTTCAGAAAGGAATAATTTACATAAGAGCAAGTTCTTGTTTTTAATGAATGTACAGTGACATAATTAGAAGTGGACACCATGTCTCCAGTTTGCTCTTAAATGGCATCTCAAAAGAGATACCCATCATGTTTATCATGGAACTATTTATAATAGCTGAGTTGTGGAGTCAGCCTAAATGCCCATAAACTCATAAATAGATAAGGAAAATGTGGTATATATACACAATGGAATAGCACTTAGTCATAGAGAAGGACTAAATTATATCATTTGGAGGAAAATGGATGCAAATGAAGATGATTATGTTAACCAGAATAAGCTACTTTCAGACAAGTATCACATTTTTCCCTTGTAAAATCTGACTGGGGGGCGGGTGGGGGGAGAAAAAAGAGAGATGGCATGAAAGTAGAAAAAGGCCTATTGAAGAAGCAATGAGGGTCAGAGAGATCAGTAGAAAGGTGTGGATTTAATCAAAGCATATTAAGTGCATTATGGAAATGCCATAAAGAGAGCCATTAATTTGCGCAATTAATAAGTGCTTATAATTAAAATGCAAATACCCTACATATCTATTAGCAATTATTTCCACTTTTCCCACTTGCCAGGCCTTGTGGCCACTAAGTCTCTTTTGTTCTCTGTGCTTTAACCTGTTCTGCCATTTTATGTAGGTACAATAATACATTACGTATTGTTTGGTGACTGGTTTATTTTATTTAGTATAAAGTTTGCAGGGTTTATCCATTTTATAGCATGAGCAGTCAGTAGTTCATTTTTTTTGGAATGTGTAATATTCCAGTTTATGGATCTGGCATATTTTTGCAGCCATCAATTTATGAATATCTGTATTGTTTTTGCTATTATAAATTATGTTTATGAAAATTTAATTACAACAATTTTGGTAGACACTGCTTTTCATTCTCTTTGGTTTGTACCTAAGAAAGCATTTACTCGGTCATATTGTAAGTTTTTTTTTAAATTTTGAGGGAATGCCATACTATTTTTCCAATGTGATTGCTCAATTTTACTTTACTAACAGTGCTGTGTAAGGGTTTGAATTCCTGTGTCCTTACTAACACTAATTTAGTATCATTTTCTTTCAGCTATCTGACTTCTAAATTGATTCAAGCTTATTTCTTTTCATGAGGAATTATGAGAATTTCAACATATTGTTTGTTTAGGTGCTGTACTTCTTTGTAGTATACAAGGACTTGCTGTGAATATTGACCCAATCTTATACACATGGCTCATCTATCAACCTCAGAAGCGAACAAGTAGACATATGCCACAGGTGAGTGATCTCTTTATCTTTAACTCTTAACGAGCAAATTGTTTCTGCAATTATTTAGTATAGTTATATAGTTATATATGTCTTTTCATTAGTTCTCCTTTTATGGATGTGCTGGAATATTTAATTTTTTTGCCTTGCTCTACCTCTTTCAAACAATTCTGTTTCTTAATTTTATTCATAACAATTTCAGCTCTACAAAGAATTTCTTTGAATATTGAAGGAGCTTTCTGTACAATTGCTTATAAAACAGATTAAAAAGAAAAATTTAGGCAGCCTGTTTCATGGCCCAAATTTCCCTCATAGTATCTAGCTGTTTGTTCATACCGAACATTGCTCAGTAAATATTGGGTTCTTTTAATGTGTTACCTTTTCCTCTTCCTCTTTAGATTTTTTAAACAAATATTCATTGAATGCTTAATATTGGAAATAGGATTGTTTGTACAAAACAATAGGATTGTTTTGTTTAAAAGGATACAAATTACACAGCAAGAAATAGGTAATTTTAATTTCAAGAATACTTAAATTTTTTGTATCAGCATACTTAAATGTAATTCTGGTAATTGATTTTATTATTCGTGTTTTAAAGTTGAAGACACTGATGTTTATTGAGCTTTACTTACCTACAGTCACTTGGTTATTAAATGACAGAACTGACAATTTTTGAGGCCATATTTATACTATAGTGTACTTTATATTGACATTGTTTTAATTTTGTATCGTTGTGTTTGAAGTAGTTTTGTATCCCCCCCTCACCTACCCTCCCTGGGATAATTAGTACTCATTGGTAGAAGAAAAATACATGATTTCATAATTATGTAATAATTAAAACATTTACTGAAACATACAATCCAAGGAGTATCTCTCTTTTCCTTCCTTCCTTCCTTCCTTCCTTCCTTCCTTCCTTCCCTCCTTCCCTCCTTCCCTCCTTCCCTCCTTCCCTCCTTCCCTCCTTCCCTTTCTTTCTGCTAGGGATTAAACCCAGGCCTTTGCTCAAGCTAAGCACGTGCTATCTTGCTGACCTACATCACTGGTCCTCAAGGAGCATCTTTTAAGAGTATTTTTTCTTCATAATATCCCAATTCATTTGAAGTTTCTGCCGTCCTCATTCATGTATCATTCTTTCTTAAAGTATTTACGGAATATTAGACTTTGTAGTAGGCACTGAATCTACAGAAATAGAAGTTATTGTTGAGAGTATTACTTCTCCAGGAGTATTTATGGCATTTGACAATATTAAGGAATATAGAAAAATCATATTTACTATTTGCTATATAGATACATGTCCAAGATTATAAAAAAAGGAGAAATGATTTTCCACAAACTGAGAACATGTGAATAGGAGGAATTAAAAAATAAGGTTAGCATCATAGTAGTAAATCATAGAGAGAAGGTTATTTCAGACTGAACTATTAGAGCAAAGACAAAGAAACTGCAAATCATGGCAAGGAGGAGTTAGTTTTATTTCTGAACTGAAATAAACTGTTCTTGTGGAGACTGATATAAAGGAGAACCAATTCCTAAAGAATTTTATTTATAATGCTATTTATTTGAGATTTTATCCTAAAATCTAAAAAGATATATTGAAAGCTGATATAAACATTTTGATTTTAGAAAGTTTACTCTTACAGAATATAGACAATCTAAATCTATAATAGAGTAGTGAGACAAGTGGCAGGAATCATTGTAGAATAGTTTTCATTGTAAATCCTTGGTTAGTTTTTTTTTTCTTTTCTTTTTTTGGTAGTTGTTGTTGGTGGTGATTATTTTTTAAGTGATACAGTTATTTCTAGCATAACATAGATATCCTCTAAAATGAATTTGAATGTTCTGGCAGCTTATTTAAGTAAATTAGACATTCATTTAATTGAAAGTTAAGCATATTCAAGGGCTTTTGTTTTTCCTTTCCATTTTATTATATATTTTTTTACTTTTAAAATTTAAATTTAAATTCTGTGTTTAAAATAATATCTTTGTTTAAAGAAAGCTAGTACATATCCATTATCCTTCTCACTCAGGGTTGCAAATAATATTGGAATAAAGATCTTCATATCCAAAACTTTGCATTCTTCTTTATTAAAAAGTATATTTTGGGGTTATGGCTCAGTGGTAGAGTGCTCACCTCACATGTGCAAGGCCCTGAATTCGATCCTCAGTACCACATATAAATAAATAAAATAAAGTTTAAAAAAAAAGTATATTTTTAGGTACTGGGGTTGTGGCTCAGTGGTAAAGTGCTTGCCTGACATGTGTGAGGCACCAGGTTCGATCCTCAGCACCACATAAAAAAATAAACAATAAAGGTATTGTGTCTATCTACATCTAAAAATATTTTTAAAGTATATTTTTAGAAGTGTAATTAGTAGTTGTATGCACATAGTTTGGCATTTTAAAGCTTACTTTAAGTTAGTTATAGTGCCAGATTGCTTTCAGTATTACTCTTTTATCATAGTTCAGCAATAACCAAAAAGTTATTTCTAAAAATACTATTATAATTTTAATTTTTTTCATGTACGGTTGGGACAATAGTGTATTAAACAAGTTCCCTTCGCCCATCTCTATAATTTTTCAGCTGTTGACCATTCTTCTTTACTTTTAAATTCTCTTGGGTAAAAAGATTGCCAATATGCAATATTGGTAGAAATGTACAGAATGATTAGTTCAGTTGTGAGTGAAAATAAATACATTTGGGCAATATCTAATACCAATGAAAATGGACATTCCGTATAACCTCCAAATTCTACCTCTTTATATAGGTATGCTCTTAGACATTCATGTAAAGCTTTAGGAACCATCTACAAGACATCATTGCATATTCATAGTGTAAAGCTGGAAATAACCTAAATGCCTGTGAAGAAGTAGGGATAAAGCATGTCCTGTTCACATGACTTATTTACTAACATCTAATATTTCTTGGTATAATGTCTCAAAATTATGCTTAATGCAAAAGGAATTTCTCAAGGATATATGCAGTTTGAGAGCACTTGTATGTATTTTCCAAAATGAGCCTTAATAAATATGTGTGTGAGTGTATAGTTAAAAATAAATGTTAAAAACTAATTTGAAGGACTTGTACAAATAACATAATAATGATTAAAATATGGGAGGAATGGGTAATATGATAAAATGTTAATAGCCATTGTTAATGCAGTAAAATAGGAATGTGGATATTATCTGATTCTTTTTTTTTTAATTAAACAGAATTTATTTCCAAGATCTTCAAAGATTATTACAAACACTAAGTATCCTTCTAAAAGTATCCCAAATTAAATCAAAGGCACATCATCAAAGTCAAACCCTTGTGACATGAAGAATTCTTTTAGGTCATAATATTTTCACATTACTTTGTTTTCAATCATTTGCAATGTTCTGTATGTAGGTCTTACTTTAAACATTTTTTTAAAGGCATGAAATAATGTAGTATCTTTTTAAAAGTGCAACCACAACTATAAAGTAAAAGAACTTAAAAAGAGATCAAATCTGCTTCATACATAAAATGGGACAACTTAATATATATCATAACATGAATCTTTCTAAACAACACCTCTTGTGTTAAATAAAACAGTCTTCTTATTTAGAAAAAATCAAGGCATCATTCGATTAGTAAAGTCTATTCTTCCCCCACAATTTTATACTTTCTTGTCTTCATTTAGTAATTGTAAATTTATGATAGAAAAAATTTTATTATAGTATAAAAATCTTAGGAACAACAAATTACAAATACTCCATATTTTTTAAATAAACAAAAGTATTTTCCTCCCTAAAATGTAAACATCCAGTTAATAAAACATACATGATATTCTAGGTATAGCAACACCAGTAATTCACTTATTAAAGAGGTGTATTTTGGTATATTTGGTGGTGAGGTTTTTATCTTAATACAAACACTTCTTCAGGAGAACCAAGCCATTATTACTTAAAACAATTCTATTTCTTCACTCAGTTCCTTATTTGAGTAGAAAATCATTAATTTCTGTAGAATTTTGGCTGTAAGATCAGGACACTGGAAAGGTCTGAAATATCTCAGTCATTTGGCTAAAGAAAAGTGTTTTCTTGAGACTTGGAGTCAGTCATTCATTACTTTGTGCTCGAAGGCATTTCTCAACAAACTTCTTCCAAGTCTTCAGAATAAAATGCAGGATCTGGGCTGGAACTCCAACCAGCAGAGCATCCTTACAGGCATTCTGCATGCAGTACTGCTGAAGCTCTTCCGCAGCCTGAGAGACCTTGATCCTCTCCGGAAGACATGGTGGCGGCGGCGCTCCGAGGGCGGCTGAGCCAGGCTGGGCTGAGCCGCTGGCCCCATATCTGGTTCTTTATAAGCCTCTTTTGATAATAATAAATTATAGGGGGCTGCGGTTGTGGCTCAGCAGTAGAGTGCTTGTCCAGTATGTGCAGGGCCCTGGGTTCGATCCTCAGCACCACATAAAAATAAATAAATAAAATAAAGGTATTATGTCCAACCACAACCAAAAAAATATTTTTTTTAAAAAAAATAAATTACAAAAATGGGAAGTCTGAAAAGCTTTAGGTAGTACATTGATGGGGAAAGGATAGGACAGATATGGGGCCAGTATCCAACAGAAATTTTGAGGAATTTGCTGTATCATTCCAAGTGAAGCAATAGAAAGTAACTAAATATAAATATTGCTTCTTTTGATATTTTTGACTGGTATAACCATATTCCAGAACAGTAGAAGGAAACACTTGTCTAACTACTTTTCCTGTATCATGTTCCTATATTAGCAGTCATTCAGTATTGAATGAGTATTCAATATTGAGGCTTTGTTGGATACCATTATAGGTATTTTATATACAGCCATTTACAAGACATACAAGAGCATTACTCTCAAGTGTTTTTGATTTTCATGTAAGTAAAAAAACACTCAAAATTTCAGTCACCCAAAGACATTTTGGTATTGTTGTTGGGTATCACCACTACCATGGCTTTCATTAATCTTTCAGCTGCAGTGCTTGAGTTCCATGTCACACTACATAATACATAAATTTTCTAATTTAATCCTGAACTTGATTATAATTTCCTATAGTGCTTGCTTATACTCTAGGAATGTAAATGATGGACAGAATTTAAGGGATTATGAAGTCACTATTGGAACATAAAGTAATTTTCTAGTAAACATGCCCGCCCCCCTATTTTATAGATGAGGACTTGTAAATGATTGAAATTTGTGATGTGCTGAATATGTCTCACATAGGTCTTAAAAGCTGTTTCCTGTTTATATTTGTTTTAAGTATTGTTTGACTAAAGTCTCAGTAAAGCTGCAATTTAAAATATTAAATATATTATTAAATATAATACAATATTAAATATGTTATTATATTTAAATATATAAATAATCATTTATTTTCCTATTTTCAAATTTCTTATCATTATGCCAATCCATTTAGCAACTTATAATTTGCCATTCTCCCTCATTTCTATGGGGAATGGCAAATTATCTTACATCTCATATGTACCTGTAAACTTTATTCTTTGCGATGTTGAGAATAACACTAGACTCACTGCATCATGACCAATGCCTGTCAGATGCAGCTGTATTTCAAGCTCTGATATAGCCATCCTACAGTTATCATTTGTTGTTTCCTAAGTTGCAAATTTTTTTCTATTATGGCTGAAACCTAACATTTGATGATTGTTTTCCACCCAGTTCCACATTGATCTTTGATCTTACAGAAAACTGAAAAATGCCCCCGCTTTTGCCAAAAATATGACAAAATTATTTGGGGAGTCATCAGCAATAACACCAGACTTTATTTCAATAACCAAAGATGAAACAGCTGCTTTATTATCCAGCTCAGCACTCATGCATTCAACATACAATCATAATGTTTTCCAGCTTTGTGTAACTGTAGATATTTTTCTTTGCTTTCTAAATATGCTATGGTTATCCTTTGTCAGATAATATTATATATACACATATATAGATATATTTCTTAGTGTGTCTTAAAAATAGGACTGTTCATATAAACATAAATAATTATTTTATAAATTGTGTTCCAAAACTATCATTTTACAATAACATTCCATTTGTTTGGAGTTGTAATTTCCCAAGGAAATTTGATTTTACCATTTTTTGATTTTGATTTTACCATTCCATATTAGCATCATATTTCTTATTACTGCTTATTTTAACTGAGTACTTGCAATCTCTTATGGTTTTCACATAGAATTAATAACCATGATTTGAAAATATTAAAATATTAAAATATTAAATATTAAATATTAAATTAAATGGAAAATTCTAGAAATAAAAATGCTGAAGTTTAAATATCTTATGTGTCGTAATTATTATGTTTTTATTATCTATTATTCATAGTTTAAAATTAAACTTTATTATAATTTTATGTATAGGAATAAATAGTACAGTTGTTCCTCAAATATACATGAGGGATTGACTTCAGGATTACCCCCCATACCAAAATCTTCCTTTATATAAAATGACGTAATATTTGCATATAACCTTCACACATTCTTTTGTATACTTTATATCATCGATGGATTATTTATAGTACCTAAAAAATGTAAATGATTGTAAATATGTTTTGTTTAGTAATATGATATTAAAAAGAGGTATGTTACATGATCAGTAGAGATTGTTTTTTTCTGTAAATATTTTTGACCCATGTTTGGTTGAACCTATACATGTAGAACCCATGGATATGGAGAGACAAGGTTTGGGACAAGGGTCAGTGTCATACATTCACTGGGAATCTTGGAATATATTCCCTGAGGATGGAGGCACCTGCTATATAAGAAACAAAGAAGGAGGTGAAGGAAACAAGGGGAAAATTATTTAAAATATTTTATTAAGTTGTCAGCCCCATATTGTAAAGGATTGTCCTCAAGGATGTAGTGTTTAGCCTTCCCTTCTTAAGAAAGGCAATAATACCCCCATCCCCATTTTTGCTCTTTCAGCAACCTGTGGTAGCTGTTCCTCTTGTTATGCCAATTAGCAGAAGGAAGGAGGATGAACTGTCTGTTGGAAGTGCACCCATGGCAAAACAGCAGTCATATCAGGCCTCTGAATATGCCAGCAGCCCTATAAAAACAAAAACAATAACAGGTATGTGTCAAGAACTTTAAAGGGTCTTTGGTTTTACTGTGCTTCTAAACTTAACAAGTTAGCCCACCTGGATTTTATGGATGCTGGCTGAAGTAATGACACTCTAGGGATGAAGAGAATGGACTTTGTTATGTACATTAGCAAAAATCCGAGTAGTAGCATTGTTTTCTCTTAGTGTTCTAAACCCAGTTCCTACAGGGCCAGGTTATACCTATATATGGTGGTTTATGTTACTGGAGAGGAATCTTAAATTTAAGGAGCTGAACATTTTATAATGATAGAAAGCATGCATGCCCTTTCCTCAGATGGGAAAAGAGGTTGAATAGTTCTTGAGTAAATAAGGTTGGAATATAAATCCCGCGATATGCTTAAACCTTTTTGAGGATTTGTGCAGGCTAGAAAATGATGTTGCTAAAGCAGGGCATGTACAACTACTGATATATTGCCTGGTTTGACCTCTGATTGATAGGTTTTCCTTTACTAAGGAATAAATATTTCTAAATTAGAAAAGACTTTCTGATTATTAGAGACATAAACAGTATTTGGAAGTGGATGATGAGGATTTATTTACTGATTCCCTTAAGCAAAATGATCAAAAAGGCAAAGATGGATCTTTTTTTTTGGCGAGGGGGATGACTTATTACCAGAGACTCTGTACTATTAGGTCTTCATCTTTTCATGTTGGCTAAACTTTCTCTTACTGTACATAGTTTCTTGGCATAACAGTGTATGTTGACTGTAGTACCTCGGAACTCCCAAGCTTAATCATTTGTGATAAAAGAGAAATAGATTTTGTTCTTTGTCTATTGAAAATGTACCCAAGGAAAATTTTGCTGTCTTGAATCATGTGCCTTTGTTGAACAGTGAATAAGGCCAAAAAGATGAGGTACTGTGATTGACCCAGTGTCATCCCAGGCTGGATCATGTATCCTTTAGTACAGGGGCATGAGATATAATACCAGAAAATAAGAGGATAGCAGAAATTAGATATTTTAGTTTCTATATACTAATTTTTCCTTTTCCAATTAGTCACAGAATAGTTAAAACATAATTATGAAACATTTGGACTCAATAACATTCACATATTTTTGATAGGAAGAAGATAAATGAATTATGAACATATTATACACATGAACTATGGAAGGTGGAAGCAATCTAGATAAGATATGAGATCTTTAAGACAAATTGTGCTAGGGATGGAACATAGGGCCTTGTTAATCAAGCTCTTTACCACTGAGCTACACTCCAAGAACTTTTGTTTTGTTTTAACCTACAGTTTATTCATTTGGGGAAAAGGAATTAGGATGTGTTTTTTTTTCCTCAAATTTATTTAAAAAAAAATAAATGACAGCAGAATGCATTACAATTCTTGTTACATGTATACAGCCCAATTTTTCATATCTCTGGTTGTACATAAAGTATGTTGACACCAATTCGTGTCTTTATACATGACTTTGGATGATGATGTCTATCACATTCCATCATCCTTGCTAATCCCCTGCCCCCTCCTTTTCCCTCCCACCTCTCTCCCTATCTAGAATTCATTAGGATGTGTTTTTGTTGTATGCAGTTTGAACATTTCAGTTCTGATTTGCACAATTTGTTAATTTTCAGTGTTATCAGTTTCATTATAAAGAAATTTTCCCAGAAATTCATTAATTTGAGTTATAACATGTGATTTGAATCATTATGTTAATTAATTGTACAGTTTCTTGAATACATTGTGATGTTAATAAGTGCCTTATAAGATTTTCAGGTATGGATTTTTTGGGATATAAGTATGCTATTTTAGTTTTATATGATCCGGCAAGAATTCAGAAAAAATTCAACCAAGTTGTTTTGTGTGTAGTCTTTTCACTCTGTTTTAGCAGTCAGAACAAGATTATAGCTTCCAGATGAAATTTTGAATTTCACATAGTGATGACATATATTTTCCTGGTTGGCTCAGCATGAGATGCAATTTCATATGCCATGTCACGTCGACTTGCAGCATCCAAAAAGCCATTATTTCCCAGGGGCTTTCAAGAGTGATAGTATCAAATGTAGTTTTTATTTTGATGAAAAGTCTTGGACATTATTGTAGTTCTATGGCATATTGCTTAAAGCTGTAAATATTATGTAATCTTCAGAAATTTAAAAATTCTATGTAAATGTCACTTTCTCTTCCAATTATTTACATGTATCTTACCAAATGAAATCACCAAAAATTATAATCAGTATAAATTATATATTAAGAAGCAATAAGGTATGGTAGATATATCAGTACACTAGGGTCTGAAAACTTAACATTTTTGTTCTAATTAGCTATACATGACAGTAGAATGCACTTTGATTTATCATACATAGATTAAGTATAGTTTCTCATACTTCTGGTTGTACATGATGTAGAATCCAAGTGGCCATATAGTTATATATGTACATATGGTAATAATGTTTACTATCCTTCCTAGTTCTATATCCTCTCTTCTGAAACTTGATTTTTGACCCCATACATATCAATCTAACTCACACAACTCTATTTTCTTCATTTATAAAATGGTCATATATATACTCAGCAATATCTTACTGTGTTTTATAAGATATATGCAAAATAATATATGTGGAAGTTCATTATAAAACACAACTCATAACATCAATATCACATTTTTAGTGTTTGAATTTTAAAAGGAAATCTGTAAACTTCAAGCATAGTGAAACATTTTTATCTAATAGCCCTTGAGGAGTGATTTTATTCTTTCTTTTCTCTTTTGGATCTTCTGCAAAAATCCAGTGTATCAATGCATGCGTAAAAAATGACATTTATTTCACATTGATGTTCTTCCTTCTCTTTAATTTAAAAAAGAGAATAGAAATAAGCAACTAGTATAACAAACCAGGTGAGTTACACACACAAAAAAACTAAAGTGTCTCCTATGTATTTTCTGACAGATCTCTGCTTAATATCTTTCGAGCTGCTGAAGCCTAACAGATCTTGTTACCTCTGTCTTCTTATATATCTGTAACTACACCTCTCTTTCACCACCAGTCACCATGTTGATTCAAGGCCTAACCCCAGGATTCCCCTTCCTAGCATCTCTGTTCCTGTGCATTGTCTTTCAAAATTATATGTTGGATCTCTTTATTTGTCTGTATGCTGCAATCCTAGTCAGAACCACACTATTTCTTGTAGAGAATAGTACTAAGGTATCTTACTGATGTCATACCATGTTCTTTAATCCTCTGTACTCAGTTACCACTTCATTGTTTAGTTGGTGGCAAGAGACATCTTATTCTAGATTCAAATTAGATCATGTCACTAATGCTTAAAACATGTTAGTTGCTTCTTATTGTTCTTAATGTAAAATCCAAATTGCTTACTGTCTCTTGAAGAGTTAGCCCTGATACAACCTCTATCCCGTTATTCTGTTCCATCTTGTATCATTTTTCTTACACTGATCCTCTCTCCTTGTGGACCACATCATGCTTTTTCTGCCTGGGACTTTTTGCTCTTCTCATAGCTATGGACTTTTCATACTCCAGGTCTCAGTTTAAATGTTACCTTTTCAGTAAAGAAACCTTCAATACTCATTTTTTCCAAAATAGGTCTATTCCTCTCCCCCAGGATTCCCAGCCTTATTACCTCTTTCCTTGTCCTCATAAATCTTAACATCTTTTCCATTTATTTGGGCTTTTTTTCCCCATGTCCTCTAGAATGTATGTCACAGGCCTTATGTAACTTGCTCTCTTTTTTGTTTGCAGACTCTAACAACTGTTCCTGGCATTGAGCAAGTATGTCATAAGTAGTTATTATAAGAATGAGCAAAAATTTTTTCTCTCTTGATATTTTTATTTAAGCCCAGACAAATCACATTGTTTAATCAGCTTCACTCCCTCTCCTTTTATTGATTTTAACTGATTTCCTATCACTTTTAATCTTTTTCTCAGATTTTCCATGGATACTTATTGAACTTTCAGAAGAATTTAGCAGCTTTTTGTATGTTTTTATTGGTATATATTCCTACTAATTTAGAAATTTAAACATAGTTAAAAATGCTGAATTATGATAAGAATAGTTCCAGTTTAGCCCAAGATATTAAGGTAATTTTTTTCTGTAGTCAAGCAATCAAATATAATCTTCAGTTTTTGAAGAATTCTCATTTATCTGCTATGTGCTTTGGAAAACTGCAAGTAACACATGATATAACTTCTGTGTGATGAAATTTCAGTTATAAATGGAAAGAGAAATGTGCCCTGAAATGTGTATTTTTGGAACTGAGGAAAATTTAAGGAAAGAAACTTTTACTACAGACCTTAGGAACTGAAAAAGATTTCATTGTGTAGGTGCAACCTTAAGGAATGGGAAAGGAGAGCAAGTACAGAATGAAAATGACCATTTTTTTTTCACCTTTCCCATTCCTTCTCCCACTCCTCAATCTCTTTTCTGTATTCCACTGTTCTCCCTTCTATTTTAATGAGATTCTGTTTTAAAATTTCTTATTTCTCTCTAGCATAAAAGAGAAGACATTTGATCCTCAGCTTTCTGAGCCTGGCTTATTTCACTTAGCATGATATTCTCCATTTCCATCTATTTAGTAGCAAATGATTTATAACTTTATTCTGCTTTATGGCAGAGTAAAACTTCATTACATACATACACTATATTTTCTGTATCAGTTAGTCTATTTATCTATTTTCTTTATCCATTTGAAACTCAATTGCACACCTTTTTTAAATCAAACAATAGTTTTGATTTTTATCAAAATCAAACTATTACTTACACCTTAAATGTCCTTTCCTCTTAGAAATGTTAACTGATATTGCAAAATTAGGTTTGGTTCTTCCTCTATAATCTGACAAAATTCAAAGAATTATGTATAACATATGATTCTTCATGGTATAATATTAAATAAAAATAGCAGCTAAACAGAATGAGGAACACCTATGCTGGTTCCATAACTTGGCTTTAATGAACATTGATGTGCTATGTAACTATATGCTGATTTTAGTTCTGTTGGATAACTACCACGGAGTAGGATAGCTGGGTCATAGCTCAACTAACATGTTTTAACATGTTTGAAGTCCCACCAGCGATGCATGAGTACACCCCCCTGCACACACACATCCTTGCCAGCATTTTTCCTTAACTGTATTTGCAACTGATTATTTTGAAAATCTTGAATTTTAAGAACACAACTGTTTGGTATTGAATATTAGTGTTTGGTTCCATTGGTATATTCATATTAATATAATATTAAAGTTAACCATTTAATCACTAACAATCAAGCCTTCAAAATGAGAACAGAAATTTTTGACATGGTGATTTTGAAAAATTGTTATCAGATTTGAGTGCTACCTAAAGAGATAAAGGAATATTTTTGTATTAATCATTCATTGAAATTTAGAGGCAAAAATATTGTTACTTAATTCTGTGTTCTTGACTTTATGTGTGTGTTTTTTTAGTCTAATTCAACTAGGGGCATATTAATAAATATGTACAAAAATATTATTTTTCACTGTAAGAATAAGAACAGTTGGGCATAAATGAGAGTGTATTGTCAAAATCCAGCTACTAACTACTATCACTTATTGCTATACATTATCACTCTACATAGCTGCTATTTTTCTTTAATATTATACCACTAAGAATTATATGTTATACATAATTCTTTGAATTTCATCAGATAATGAAGAAAGGACCAAATCTAATTTTGCAAAATTAGTTAACATTTCTAAGAGGAAAGGACATTTAAGGTGGAAGTAGTAGTTTGATTTTTAATAAAAATCAAAACCTTTTATTTATTAAAAACGGTGTACAATTGAGTTTCAGATTGTGTAACCTTTGCATCTTTCTTATCCATAATCATTTGTTACGTTTTCATGATTATTCTATACATTTTATTGTTGTCTTAACATTACAACATTTAAACTGAAAAGTATTCCTCATTCTTTATATGAAATACAAACACAATTATTTTGTATTTTGTATTTTTATTTTTGGTACCCATCAGGAAACTGACCCTTAGGTTTAATTGCTTTTCAAAAATCATTTAGGAAACTGTAAAGGTAAAAAACAAACTCATGTTTACTTCAACTGTAGTATATTTTTCAGGGTATAAAAATAAAAGAAGAATAATCAAATTAGATGGATCATTTCTATGGAATAATTGTTTATATTAATTTAACCAACAAAATTTGGGTCTCAAAATTATTTATTACTAAAAACAAAAAAGAAATTTAATAAATATGTTTGATATCAGACTGCCATATTAAATGTAGGTTTTATATATCTCCAATGGGAATAAATAAATGTGATGTTTTCTGAAGTATTTATGGTACTACTGTGACCCTTAGTAGAAATATGGTACATATATTTGAACTAGAAGTATTTGAACAAGAAGTCAATTATACAGAAATTTAATAATATGAGAGGTAGTATAGAATAATAGTCAAAAGAATAGACTCTGGGGCCATCCTACCTAGAGACATATCCTTGTTTTGCCACCTACCAGCCAGGTCACTTTGAATATGTTAATTATCTTCTCTGTGACCTGCTTACTGCACATCTAATCCATTAGTAAATCCTGTTGGTTGTATGTTTAAAATGGATATAGAATATCATTGTTTGTAATCTCCATTGATTTTCCTGTTTCAGCACTTGATCCATGTGATCAATTTTCTAAACATCTGTCAGAACAATTATTTCAAAATATATCTTCAGTAATGCCATGGCAATATTCAGAACCCATTATTATATCTCATCTTCTCAATGTGAAGACCAGGCTCCTTACCATGGCATATATAAGCCCAAGGTGATCTGGTACCTATAAGTAAATTTAATCTCATCTCCTACTTTTCTTAACTTTACTCAACTTGTTCAAGCCATCCTTGCTTCTTTCCCATTGCTTAACAATCCCAGGAGTACTCCTAACTCTGGACTTTGGCATTTTTGTTGCAGCTGCCCAGATATATTGCTATATGAATCTCATCAAGCTGTTTTTCTATAACAAATATTTCTTTGAATTTCTGTTACACACAGTGCCACAGTTTTTAGGGATTATAAGAATGATAGTAGTTTAAATCTATTATAAATGCACATATGTGAACCAAGTTGGGAGAAGGGGGCAAGTGTAAGTGGATGTGGTAACCACGTTATTCTCATGGTGGTGATATGGTAGCACTTATTTTGGAGAGGTAGATCAGTTTAGTAAGTGTGGAAAATGAAACTATGAGTTATTTATTCTATGCTACTTTAAAGTAATAAAATAATATACATAAATTGTATTAACATAAGATATATAAGTATACATGAATTTGTTCAGATAACAACTAGTAGTAATTTATATATCATTATAAATTATTAAATTGTTTAATTTATCTAATTTTACATTGTAAAAATTGTTGAAATTCTGTAATTTATTTGGTGAGCAGATTTTTAATAAGAGTAAAACATAGGGCTGGGGATGTGGCTCAAGTGGTAGCGCGCTCACCTGGCATGCCTGCGGCCGGGGTTCAATCCTCAGCACCACATATAAACAAAAGATGTTGTGTCTGCCGAAAATTAAAAAGTAAATATTAAAAAAAGAGTAAAATATAACATTTGATTTTACTACAAATGAAAATCACTTTGAGACAGACGTTATTACCGTATATACATGTATGATTATGTTACTAGAATGACTTTGCACCATGTATAGCCAGAGGAATGAGAAGTTGTGCTCCATTGGTGTACAAGATGTCAAAATAAATAGTTTAATTCTACTGTAAAATAAATAAATAAATTTTAAAAATCTCTTTATCATATTGATTCTATAGATAAGGTTTTGTTATGTGAAAATTTCACATGTGGGAAGGTCCGTTTTCTTTTAGTTTTGGATGAATCAAGTGATTTATGGAAAAACATATATTGAAGTATTATTTTTGTACTGAGAAATGAATAAATTTAGTTACAACTTAATGAATTTCACAAATGCATACCTCTATGTAGTCAATAAATAGAACATTACATCATTACTCAAGTCCACCTTCCATTTACCAATACCTTGAATATTATGAAAAACATTAATTCTATAAGATAAAATGATCAAACAAGACTTTTATAATCTCATATAGAAGTGATATTTTAAGCAAGGAAATAGTCTTGAAATACTTTCTTTATAGTTTTGTGAAATTAAAAGTTATACATCTGTCAAATAATTAATCATTTTTATCCTTAGAATCCCGACCCTTATCAGTTCCTGTGAAAGCCATGTTTAATATATCTGAGGGCTGTAGAAGTCCTGAAGAAAGAATGAAAGAATTTATTGGAATAGTATGGAGTGCAGTGAAGAGTCTCACACTACAGGTAAAATAAAACTTATGATATGACTCTAGTTTCTATAATAGTATTTTTAATTTTTTACATTATTAACATTGGTAAAAATTGTCACACAAGTAACACTATGTAAACTACCTCATTTCCACAGTTTAGTTGAAAACTGTTGGTACTTTACTTTAGTATCAACAAAATTATATGAAACATATGCTGTATAAAAATTTACACATTTTGAGATTCTTCTTTAAAATTTTTTGTTCATTCTAGTTTTTGTTTCTTTTAAATATTGTTAAAGATTTTAAAGCTCAGTGCAAAATCACACTTAGTATAACTGAGATAGATTATTAATTGGAATTAAATTAACCTAAAAGTGTTATCTAATTGCTTTCCTTACCTAATTATAAATTTAAATATGAAAATTATTATAATTATTTCTTTATTTTATTGTTACTAAATTTTCTTATTGTTTTTGCTTTGAAATGTGTATCATCTTTTTAAAATTATCCTCCTTCCAGATGATAGTTAAACTGGTGAAAGTATATTTAACTAAATGATTGTCTGATCTCATAGGAATTAGATAAAAGTAATTGAACAGTTGCAAATTACAGGTTTTATATAGAATCTTTCCTCTGTATACAATATGGAAGACCAATACCAGGGATATCTTTATGAAATTTTATGTGTAACAAACAATAATATACTAAATATTAGGGTTTTTTAGTTCTACCTAAGATGCAAAAAGTTAAAGAAGAAAATTTTTCCCACCTTAGCAATGAGAGCAAACTATAAGACCTAAAAAGTTATAGTAATTTTCAGCCCTAAAAGCTGACATTTCCAATTTACATGTGACAAGCAAGCCCTAATTTAAGAATCTCAGAAAACACATACATATCTCAATAAATACATGAAAAGAGAACTTTATTTCTACAGAAAAGGTGTTCTTTTAGCTGGAGAGAAGTAATAACAGATAAAAATCTTGGTTTTACAGGAAGCAATGAAGTATTCCAAAAATAGTAAACGTGTTGGACAGTAACTATTGAGGAAAAAAATACACTTGGCTCTTAGTTTCTTTTCCCTTTACTTCCAATTAAATACAGCATTCAAACAACATGTGACTCTTAATCAAAATAAAAGAGCTTTAGCAAAAAACTTCATTACTTAAAAGGAATTTCAGTCATTTACTAAGAGTACTTTGTCTGTGCTATACTCACACCAATCCTAAACATGTGAAATTATCTCTGCCAACACACGAGTAAGCTTTGTAGTGTATTCTTCCCTAGGTTAGCTTCTAGGAGAAAATAAACGGATGGCAAACTTAATAGTAATTTTTTGAAAAGTCTGTCTGAGTCCCCATCTAAGCCATACCCAGATTGTTGACCTGCAGAATAATAAATGCATATTGTTTTTATCTGCCATATTTGTGGTGATTTGTTATACAGCACAGAAAGCTAATGCACAGAGATACAAACACATTTTTTAGCATAGCAGTAATATAGTCAGATTAATTGCTACATTTAAATTCACCTGTAACTAATGCTTTTTATATATCTCCATTTGTAAAATAACAGTGAGAGTGTGTATTTTAAATATTGATACAAGAGCTAGTAACCTGGGTTAGACAGTTCTTTACAGCCTCTCTTTTTCTGAACAGACTGCTCATGAGAAAATTGAAAGAATAGTACTCTGTCTGAGTAAAGGTTCCTTGTCATTTCTTCACAGTAGTGTTGTTCTGACTCTTTGTTTTGTAGGAATATGCCTTCACAAGCATCAGCTAAGTCTCACCAGTCTCACACCACATGCAGTCTTTTATTGTTAATTATATCTTAATAACTCCTTGTGTTGACTCAAATCTCCTTCTCCCCAGCAACATCCATTAGTGTAGTCATGACAACATATAGGAAAGATCTACATAAGTGTGAAAACATTAGTTTCATTTACATTGTGATTATAGAAGCCGGAAATACATAATACTCTAAGATGGTGCTGAACACATATAGTCAATGTTAGTCTTTCTATAAAACACTGTCTCCTTATCATCTCTTTCATTGTAAATCACTCAGCCTCCACTCCCATACCCATAATTATCCCTTCAAGGTAGATCTCCTATGCTTCGGGTAGCTTAATAACATAAAAAAATGTAGTTTTTCTTTTGCTAACATCTTTATTGCCAGTGAAAACCCATTACTGATGAAAATGAGAATACTTCATGGCAGTTCTACCAGTCAAATATTCTTTCTCAATTTGATCAAACTCAATCTGTATTCTTAGCTTGCTCCAGTCTGTACTTATAAGAAAGTAAACCTTGCCTATTTGTCTCTCCACAATGCCTCCCAGAATCTTATGTGCTTCTATAGGTGCTTTGGATATTTTGTATGTGTTAAATTGCCAATAAAATAAGTAGTTTTTATTTCTGATCCATATTTCACAACATCTTTTTATATATTATTTTAGTAATTCTCTACTAAAAGTAATCTGTGATGTATTTAGTATTCAAGACAATTTAAATATTGAATTAATGAGTTTGTAATTCTAAACATGAGTAACTTAGAGCACATCTTTCTACTGTAACGATGTAACAGTGAGCTTATCTGATCATAGTACAATTTGAAATTGTAAATTATGGCTTGACACAAATAATATTTCATGACAGAAAGGAATAATTCAAATATTATTGGATCACTCCCTGGTGCTTTTCCTTATAACTCAGGCGTTTTCTAGCACATTAAGCTTGATGTGTGTAAGATTCGTAGTATTTTTTGCTAAATTGGGACTTACAAATTCTAGTAGGAAAAACATACTTTGCCTCTTTCCAGAGACTTTTTTGATGATCCAATACACTTTCATAGAAAACTTTTCTCTTTAATTTTGGTTTTTAAACATATATAAATTGCTTTCTTTTGATTTTAATATGTAGCTTTTACTTCTAAGCTGCATGTCTTCTTTTTTCTTCTGTACAGTTTTCCTGCTCTGTTCTAGTAGAAGTGTTTTGAAAGAAAAATACTGGAAAACAAATTTAGCCTACATTCATTTGTATACCCACACATACACAATGTATTTATATATTTGAAACTTACATATGTGAAGTTTTACTATGATGGGACTATACAGATAATTTGGATCTTATGTGTCTTTCAAATTAATTACTTGTACACTTCTCAGTGGTAGCCCTGAGGAGGTAGAATGTAATATGAGAAATTGCTAGAAAGTAGTATGCTGCTAAATATAATCTTGGCTTTCTGAAGTTCTGTATGTCCTTTGTGATAATTATTAGAGTTATAAAATATTCCTGTTAGGGGCTGGGGATGTGGCTCAAGAGGTAGCACGCTTGCCTGGCATGCATGCGGCCCGGGTTCGATCCTCAGCACCACATACAAACAAAGATGTTGTGTCCGCCAAAAGCTAAAAAATAAATATTAAAAAAAATAAAAAATAAAATATTCCTGTTAAAATAGAAGTACCCAAGAATAATGAACATGTTAATCTTTTAACACTCTAGTATAAACTTATTATTTAAAAAAGCAATTTGATTAATAATCCATGTAGTCTTTCTCTCCATTTATTATTCCTTTCATTAATTTGTATATTCAGCTCCTACTTTCTGTTATGTGTCTTATTATATGTTCAGGAGACAAAATAAACATAATAGTTCTTATGGTCTAGCAGGAAAAAGGCCATGTGCCCAGATATGAAATATCATGGGTGGAGCACATGATATTTTTTTATTTAAAATAATTTTTAATTAAATTATTTATTTATAATTTTAAAATTAGATTATTTATTTATCCTAATTTGTTACACATAATGGCAGAATGCAATTCATTTCATATTACACATATAGAGCACAACTTTTCAAGTTACTGACTGTACACAAAGAATTTTAACACCATTCGTGTCTTCATACATGTACTTAGGGTAATGATGTCTAAATCATTCCACCATCGTTCTTACTCCCTTGCCTCCTCCCTTCCCCTCCCTCCCTTTTGCCCTATCTAAAATTCCTCCATTCCTCCCATGTTCCCCACTATCACCATTATGAGTCAGCATTCTCATATCAAAGGAAACATTTGGCCTTTGGTTTTGGGGGATTGGCTTTCTTCAGTTAGCATTATATTCTCCAACTTTATCCATTTAGCTGCAAATGCCATGAATTTATTCTCTTTTAATGCTGAGTAATGTTCCATGATGTATATATACCAAAATTTCCCTATCCATTCATCTGCTGAAGGGCATCTAGGTTGGTTCCACAATTAAACTATTGTGAATTGTGCTGCTATAAACATTGATGTGGCTGTGTCCCTGTAGTATGCTGTTTTTAAGTCCTTTGGGTATAGACCAAGGAGTGGGATATCTGGGTCAAATGGAGGTTCCATTTCAAGTTTCCAAGGAATCTCCATACTGCTTTCCAGATTGGCTGCACCAATTTGCAGTCCCACCAGCAATGTATGAGTGTGTCTTTTTTCCTACATCCTTGCCAACACTTATTTTTGTTTGTATTCTTGTTAGCTGCCATTCTGATTGGAATGAGATGAAATCTTAGAGTAGTTTTAACTTGCATTTCTCTAATTACAAGAAATGTTGAACATTTTTTTCATATGTTTATTGGTTGATTGTATATCCTTTTCTGAGAAGTGTCTATTCAGTTCCTTGGCCCATTTATTGATTGGGTTATTTGGGTTTTTTTTTTTTTTGGTGTTAAGGTTTTTGAGTGCTTTATAAATCCTAGTGATTACGTGCTCTATGTGATGTGCTTGTGATAAAGGTTTGCTTCCATTCAGTAGGCTCTCTATTCACCTCACTGATTGTTTCTTTGGCTGAAAAGAAGCTTTTTAGTTTGAATTCATCCCATTTATTGATTTTTGGTTTTATGTTTTGCGCTATAGGAGGCTTATTAATAATTTTGGGACCTAATCCGACATGATAGAGATTTTGCCTACTTTTTCTTCCATTAGGAGCAAGGTCTTTGGTTTAATTCCTAGGTCCTTGATCCACTTTGAGTTGAGTTTTGGGCATGGTGAGAGACACAGGTTTAT